GGAAGGAGAGGAAAAGGGATGTTGCTTTCCAGAGAAGAATGGGGAGGAGACCGAAAGGGAGCATTAGCTGGGAGGGAGAGACCAAGCAGGGGATGGAAGGAGTAGAGAAGGGAATAAAGAAGTGGCAGGAGGCCAGGTGGGATCAAGGAAACACACAAACACTCTGGGGTCCGTGGCGGAGCTGATTGGCATCTTCTGGCTAAACCTTTTTCCCAACCAAAAAATGGTCGTGGTGTTTGTTTGCCTGCAACGAACATTTTCACTGAAAACTTTTTGTAGTCAAAACCCCCAATTATTTTTGGTCCCTTCCCCCACACCTTTTCCAGTGGGGGAAAAAGGAAAGAAACAGGCATGTGGGTGGAGGGGGAGGGGCCCCGGTTGATTTTTGTTTTCATTTAGTCAGAAAAATTCCAGAAAGTATTTCAGAACAAAACACCCTTTTTTCTCGTTTGGTTCAGAATGTTTCACGGCAAGAACGGAGCAATTTCCAGCCAGCTGCATTGAATTCAGGTCCCTTTCCTTGCCTGCTTTCCTGGCCGTCACCCTTGTTCTTTACACTTGTGGGAAGAGGTGGCTATTTGGAGTCCTTGTTCTACCAGCCCTGCCGCCTCCTCCAGATTCTATAGTTAAATAACTGGCAACCCCAACCCCCACCAAAAATAGCCCCAAATTCACCAGTATGTGTACACAGCCCTGCCCACCCCCCTCCGGCCCCTGGGCCTGTCTGCCTCACACCAAGACCTGGCATCCCACAGCAAACAATTCCATTTCAATAGCTGTTCCTTTCTGAGAGCCCCCAGCAGGCATCTGTCCCTATTAGAAATCTTATTTGCACCGGAGGAGAGTGCAAATTACGGTCTCTCTCTTAGACATGGATTGCAATGCGGGGAGAGGCTGAGAGCAGAAGCTGCCGTTGTTAATAAGGGGTGAGCGGGCGGGGAGGTAGGGAGCCCAAATGGTAGGGGTGGCAAATAAAGGAATACAGTAACTGTCTGATGTAGCTAAGGCAGGAGCTGTGGCCTTTCGAGTACTCCGAAGCAGCGTCTGAGAGCCCCAACAGCGCAGGAACAACATAAGCAATGCAACAGGCTGTCGCATGATGCTGGGCTCGCTCCCTTTTGTCTTGATTCATAAGGCAGCGATCGAGTGGGAGATGCTGCTGTTTGACAGATACTGTAGATGGACAGATACTGCAGTGCGGCTAGAAGAAACAGATACTGCAGCAGAGAAAGACGCAGCCTCAGCGGGTTCAGGGTGGTTAGCTGAAAGTGTGTGGAGGAGCTGTTCAGGGTTCTTCAGTTGAAGGGTTCCCAGCAATTCCCACTCCGGATTTCCTATCTGACCTTTGCAAGCACCTGTGCTGTCTCTCTTCGTCTCCCTCACACCTGCTACACAAGACGTGTGTAGACACTAATGCAAACTCACCATACATGGCCAGGGCACAGAGCTGCCCTCTGCCTTGTGAATGGAAGACAGGGAGTGAGGAGGGGGATTAACACACAATGCAAGCCAATTTCCAATTAATCAGAAACAGGCAGAGCCGTTAATGAAAGTCCTCCTGGTGGCGAGACAGCATGTTGAGAGCACAGCTGGCCCAGACCCTGGTCCTTGGGATATGAGTGAAGCACGGAGTCCTTTTCTAAATCCACACACTTCCTGTTAAAGGGTCACTCCTGCCCTTTTGGGCGTGGCTAAGATTTTGGTGTGCTGCAAAGCATGCAAAGAGGGCTTGTGGCTGTGACAGCTCCTACCCAGGGTTCCTTTTCAGCTGGTAGACCTGCTATCTTCAGAACAGGAGTACCCCAGGGCTGGCCTCAGATGCACATCAAGTGAGCCTGCCTTCAGCATTGGGGGCTCTGTTAACTCACTAAGCTGGCTCTGCTTTCAGGCCATCAGTTAGCAAAGAACAAGCCGATGGCAAAGGTCTGGGTATGTCTAAAGGTGTGTTGGCTAAAGGCCTTTGGGGCTGTGGGACATTTTATTATTTCTTACCTGAACCACTGCCTGTCCACAGGGGAAGATGCCACACAGCTCTGCTGATGCAGCCCAGTCCTGACCTGCAGCACCCCCTGCTATTCCCATCGCCACCCTCTCCTCCACCACTGCCCCTCAACCCCAACCCACAGTTTCCCCACTAATTCAATCCTGACAAACCAATTCAGCAATATTGTGGGCCCAATTCAACAGCCTGTCAAATCCCCTCATGTGGCCTAAGACAGTCAGTCAGGTGAGTGCAGGAGAAAAGATCTGGGCCTAGTTGAAGGAGTTCTAAATTACCTGTGTACCGTGTCTAATGCAACAATGGGATTTGGGTGGCCTGTTGAGGTGCATATCAATGAGCATCTGACACCCCCACCCTCATGGCTAGCAGCCAAAGGCTAATACGATTAGCGTGATCCATTCTCTGTGCTTGGTGGGTGGTTTCATTATAGTCCTTTGATGCCTAAAGTCCTTCCCTGTGGTGAAAGTTCAGTTCTTTGTTACCACTGGGGTAAATCCATCTCATTCAGCTCAGCCACCATAAAGTGGGAGTAAAAAGCAGAATCCCTGCAAAGACAAGAACCTGCTTGTGACTCTGAGCCGACCTTTCCTGGGGACAGAAATGAGACAGCAGAGGAAGAAACAGATGAAGGAGTTCGATGAAGCGCCCTCTCCTGGGCATGAAAGATCACTGCATAAGTACATAAAAGGCCAAATGAATGAGGGGGGAAATGATAAAACAATCAGAAAAGCTGGATGTGAAATGAAACCATTGTTTCTCTAATGACCCTGGGGTATCCGTGAAATCCACCCACATGGTGACAAGGTGGAGAAAGCACTCACAGTCTCAGTGACCCATTGATGTTTCTGTCCCTGTAACACTTGGTGACACTTGTTAGAGCTTGTCGTACCAGTAAAAGAGCATTGTCTTGAATTGTATTACAAAATAAATGATGCAAGCTATTGGCTTGGACCTGCCTGTGACTCCCACGGGCCTACGTGTTAGAACAGATACCAGCCTTATTGACAAATATGAGAGTGACGTTCACTGTCCACATAGTACACTGGGGCCTGTTCCTTTGGAGCAAGCAGGTTTTGTGTTTCAGGAGAATGCTAGCCTGCTCCGAAAGCTCTGTGCTCCAAACATCCTGGGATCAGACTACGAGCCGGGCTCAACTTCGCCCAGGTCTGTTTTGGACTAATCCAGGGGTCGGCAACCTTTGGCATGCAGCTCGCCAGGGTAAGCACCCTGGCGGGCCGGGCCGGTTTGTTTACCTGCCGCGTCCGCAGGTTTGGCCGATCGCGGCTCCCACTGGCCGCGGTATGCCGTCCCAGGCCAATGGGGGTGGCGGGAAGCGGTGGCCAGCGCACATCCCTCGGCCCATGCCGCTTCCCATGGAGCAGCGAACTGCAGCCAGTGGGAGCCGCAATCGGCCAAACCTGCGGACACGGCAGGTAAACAAACCGGCCCGGCCCGCCAGAGTGCTTACCCTGGCGAGCTGTGTGCCAAAGGTTACTGACCCCTGGACTAATCTGACAGTCCTGAGCAGCGCTCAGCATGCAGGGCAGGATGAAAGGACTAAGGCCCCATATACTCTAGGAATGTGACTACCTTGGGGCAGCTGCTAGAACAAGGTTTGGTCCAGTACGCACAGGGGAGACTAAGGTCTGCATTCATTTTAGGTGATCTCTAAGTCTCTTTCTGAAGGAGATGCCACCAGGAACCCAAATCCCATGGTGATGGGCACAGTATAAAAACAAAATAGAGCAGAATGGGCTTGTCTACACAAGGAAGTTTGACCAGTTACACTGGTATAATTACACTGGTGTAGTTAAAATGCTATAGTTATACCAGTATAACCTCCCTGTTATTCTTATGATTATATCCTTACATGTTATACTCTTATTCCAGTATAAGAGTGGCTTTTTTAGTTCAACTTAAACTCCTGCCCAAGTGACAAAAACCAGATTGAAAAATATGCTGGACTACTGGACTAAGAGTTTGCATGTGTGTGTTACACCAGTAGAACGACATCAGTTTAAATCCACATTAATTTTATACCTCATGTAGAGACAAAAGTGCAAGCTCGTTGGGCCAGGGTCCCACATTTTATTCTGTGTTTGTGCAGGAAGCACTAGGATTGCCACCTGTCCAGGTTTTCCCAGGATCATCCATTTTTAGAGGTAGCTGTCCTGGGAATTCTGTGAGGGTGCTCAGTACTTGCTGCCAGCTGTCCAGCTTTATGGGCTCCCGATTAACCCCGGGGGCCCAGTTTTTTGTACCTCAGAGGTGGTGCAGCACCCTACCTAGAATACAGCAGCCGTGGTTTTGGGTGTTACTGCAACACTCGGGAATAGTACAGTAATACAATTCACCCTGAGCATCATGCCTTTGCTGGGATAAAACATCTGCTTTCTGCTCTCCCCACAGCTTCACTATGCCACAAGGATAAATGAGAGCCCTAAAATCAGTGCGCCCCAAGGGGGAACGGGCCCAGGCTGCTGCGTGCGGGAGAATCTGCAGGAGAATCGAGGTCTCTCATATTCCCAGAGGTTAGGGTGACCAGATGTCCCGATTTTATAGGGACAGTCCCGATTTTTGGGTCTTTTTCTTATATAGGATCCTATTACCCCCCACCCCGTCCTGATTTTTCACACTTGCTGTCTGGTCACCCTACCGGAGGTGCAGCAGAGTGTATGGGGCAATATAACCCGGCCGGCCACCCACCCCCTCTCCCGGCCAGGACCTTGCCCGCAGGTGGGCAGGGACCCCCAGGCCCAAGGGGCTGCCGCCTCTGCAGGGTCCCGAACGCTCCGATCCAACTGGAGCCCTTGCCCGAAACAGGCGCCCGGACGCCCCGGGGAAAGGCGCTCGGGGAACCGGCTCCACGCACTGGGAAACAACTTAGGCAGGCGCAAATAGGCCGGCCCCGCCCCTTCATGCAAATCGCATCCTGCCCCGTGCCCGCTGAGCCAATAGGCGGCGGGGGGCGGAGCGTGGCGGCAGGACTTGTCCGGGCATGTGGGAGCCATTGCAGCAGCTGCTTCCGGGAAAGCCACGTGTGGGGAACCGGCTCGCTGGGTAAGAGATGCGGGGGTCCGGCCGGGGGCGACCCAGTCGGGAGGGCTGGGCATAAGGAGGGGGCCTCAGGGACGGGGCCGAGGGGCTTGTAAGCAAATGATCTCTCCTGCTATTCCTGTTTTAGTCCTTACGTCCCAGGCCCCTGCCCAGGGTAGAGCTGGCACCGCAGAGCCAAGCTAGTGGTCTTGGGATAAGCGCCAGCCATGGTCGTGCTAACTTCTTCCCCCCCCCTTACCGTCTTGTGGCCGTATCACTCCACTATGCCTGGGGTGATGCTGGCGCCCCCCCAGGCCCGCGTTATGACTGCTGCAGGCTCTGAACCACGGGCCCCGCCCTGCCCTAACAAGGCCTGACTGAGTGACCAGCTATGGTAAACCCTGTGACCCGAAGGAGAACTCTGCGTAGCTCGTAAGCTTATCTCTGTCACCCACAGTAAAAGATATTACCTCACCTACCTTGTCTCTCTGATATCCCGGGGCTGACATGGCTACAACAGGACTGCATGTGATAAACCCCAGGTGGGCACATCATGTGCTATCTCCACTCCCCTGTGGGAATGGGATAAGCCCTCTCAAATCCAGGCGAGGAGCATCTCTACTTACCAGGCACTGACTAACCCTGTGTTGTGGGTATCTTTGGCAGGATGCCTTCTGGCCAGGGTCTAACGCCAGGTGTTGTGAGCACAGTGAAGGCCTGTGAGGTGAGGCAGAAGGGGGCCGATGGCCGATTTCTCGGGTACTCCAACTGCAGATGGGATCTGTGCTGTCCTCGCCCCAAAGCCCACCTGGCTCGCAGAGCAGATGTGGAAGATCGTGGCTTGCTGCAGAGCCAGAATAAAAAGAAAAGCCGGAAGCACCAGCGGTTTATGGAGCGCAGGGCTCTGCTGGAGCAAAGGGGGCTGTTGAGACCCAAATTGGGACACGGGACTGAGCCAATGGCATTCACGCCATCCAAAGAGGGCCTGTTAAACAGGGAAGCCAGCAGATGTGGCCAGCCAGCCAGTGAGGATGTATCTCTCGTGCATAATCAGTCTGTGGGGAAAGTCCATGTAAAGCTCACAAAGCTCAAGCGGGCTCTGTTGCAGTCTCTGCCAGTCCCTCCGGAGGACACAGCTGGGCAATGCTCCTTTTCACTTTCCCAAGACTCGGAGAGCAGGTTACCTTTGCCTGGCAGTTCCAACTCAGGCAGAGCTTCCTTGTCCCGCTCACTGCAGAGACCTGGGAAATGCGTGGCCATTGACTGTGAGATGGTGGGCACAGGCCCTGGCGGGAAGCTGAGTGAGCTGGCGCGATGCACGGTGGTGAACTACAACGGAGATGTGATCTATGACAAATATATCCGGCCAGAGCTTCCCATCGTGGACTACAGGACTCGCTGGAGTGGGATCACCAGGCAACACATGCAGAACGCTACCCCGTTCAGTGCTGCACAGAGAGAGGTAAACAAGAGGTGTGGTGTGTGTATCTGTACAGTCTGAACAAGGGCTAGATTTTATCCCCTCTTTGGGCAGCTGTCTATGCACTGCTCTGCTGTTGCTGTTAAAACAGCCAGTGGGTCTTAACAACCAGAGTCTGTCACCTGCCCCCCCTCTCCTTCCAGGCTTTCCCAGGAGATATTAGAAAAGCAGCATGGTCTAAGAGCAGGGGTCGGCAACCTTTTGGCACACGGCTCACCAGGGTAAGCACCCTGGCGGGGCGGGCCGGTTTGTTTACCTGCCACGTCCATAGGTTCGGCCGATCGTGGCTCCCACTGGCCACGATTCGCCGTCCCAGGCCAATGGGGGCTGCAGGAAGCGGCGGCCAGCACATCCCTCGGCCCGCGCCGCTTCCCGCTGCCCCCATTGGCCTGGAGTGGCGAACCGTGGCCAGTGGGAGCCGCTATCGGCCGAACCTGCGGACGCAGCAGGTAAACACACTGGCCCGGCCTGCCAGGGTGCTTACCCTGGCGAGCCGCGTGCCAAAGGTTGCCGACCCCTGGTCTAGAGACATGAATGTAGGACTAGGAGCCAGGAACTCCTAGTTTCTAATCCTTGCTCTGAAGCTGGCTTGCTGTGTGTCCGCTTTGAGGTGAGAGATTCTGTATCTCTGTGCGTCTTTCCCCCCACCTTTTCTCTCCTTTCCCCAAATTTCCAGCCTGCCCTGAAACCAGAGGATGCTTTGGAACTGGCCTTCTCTGGGAAATGTAGCCCTGCTTCTTCCTTGATTGCGATTTGGATAGCTCTCACTGGGCAGTTGGGATCTGTGACATCAGAGAGGTATGACTAGTTGTGGGGTTAGATAGAGCGGGAGAAACCAAAATCAGTGCAAGGAAGGACTTCTAAATCCCTCTTTTACTCCCGCTGTGATGCCCAACTAACCACCTCTGACACTTCCAGATCCTGAAGATCTTGAAAGACAAGATTGTGGTGGGACATGCCATCCACAATGACTTCCGAGCCCTGAAATATTTTCACCCCAGAAGCCGGACTCGAGACACCAGTCGAATCCCTTTGCTGAACCGGAAGGCAGGACTCCCTGTGAAAGTCAGTGCCTCTCTCAAGAGCCTGGCAAGGCAGCTGCTCCACAAAAGGATTCAGGTAAGGGGCCTCCTGGGAATGGAAAGCAGGATCTGGGGAGTTCTTAACCACTTCACTGCTGAGATGGCTAAGGCTGCAATTGGATCTGTGTGGGCAGACCCAATGGGAGACCATGTGGGCATAAGAGTCTGCATGTGAGAGGCAGGATGGTGTAGTGGTTAAGGTACAAGCTGGGATGTGAGAGACCTGGGTTCAAGTCACTGCTTCATCACAGACTTCTTATGTGACCTTGGGCAAGTCATTTAGTCTCTGAGAACCTCTGTTCCCCATCTGTACAAAGGGGGTGATAGCACTGCCCTGCACCACTGAGGTGGGAGGGTAAATCCATTAAAGACTTTGTGGTGTTCAGGCCCAAATGCTCAGAGGTATTTAAGCATCTAGCTCCCCTTGACTTCAATACCTCTGGGCCACAGATACTGCGGTGATGGGGGGCCCAGAAATTACTTCAAACAGACCGATGTGCGGATCTGATTGCAAGATGGAGGCCTTGGTGTGTTCGAAGCCCAACAGAAACTGATTCCAACACCGTTTATCCACTGGAGCAACAGCAAGTTTTGTTGGGAGCTTGGCTCTGGGGCCTTCACTAGCCCTCCGCTCTAGCGTGGCCTTTTCTCTTTGCCCTCAGGTTGGCCAGAAGGGACACTCGTCGGTGGAGGATGCTCGGACTTCCATGGAGCTTTACAGACTGGTGGAGGTCCAGTGGGAGCAGGAGCTTGCCAGCAGCCACCCCTCCAGTCCCCCTCGCACTCCTACGGACAGCTGCACGGACAGTGACCACTACATGGAGGACCAGTACTGGCCTAAGGACCTGAATATAGACTGCAAATGAAATGCTCAGTCTCCATCTTCTCCTTGAGGGTTTCCCCTCCCAATAGAGACATTTTCACGCCTTCAGCTTTTAAACTGAGAACAGCTGTTCACTCCTATTTAATCTTTTCCCCCTCAGGGTTTGCTCCCCCAACATTGCAGCTTGGTGGTGGTGCAGGAGAGCCTGAAAACGACACTGGTCAATCCAACTGCGTGGCCCAAGCTGGACAAAAAGCAAATGTAGGATGAGAAAATAAGACTTTTCAGCTTCATTGACTTGAGTGTTCGTAAGAGAGGGAAATTAACCTCCCTCCCACCCATTCTCACGTGCCAGTGCCCTATAATGCCCTTCCCCTGTTTGAACACTAGAGAGAACTAAGATGAAATGTGAAGCACACCTCTGCCTTTCTTTGGCTGCTATGGAGCCTGCATTGGTGCCCTGGTGGCCATCAGTTACACTGCAGAGCATGACGTGGGGAGTCTTGGTTGTGTAGTAGATACAGAAAGAGGTAGGGGTAGGAGAGCAGCAGGTGCAGACCCTCCAATGGCATGGAGTGCTGCTGACTAAAGAGAAGTTCTGGGACTTTGCTCCCTAATTCCCACCACAGATTAGTTTGCCTGGAAGGTTGCAGGCAGCTGTTTATCTCTTTAGAGCCCTGCCAAAAGGCGCTTACACCTAAGGCAAAGGAAATGTGATTACACTTGTTTCTCAACGTCCGGGTCAAAATGTGGCTGACGTTGCTGGGCTGTGGGCGCTCCCAGTTCTGCGATAGAGATGACACGAGGTGTTTCTGCACTGCAATAAAACCCATGTGGCTGGCCTGTGTCAGTCTACTCAGGCCCAGGGGGCTAGAAAACGGCAGTGCAGCTGTTTGGGTTTGGGCTCAGGCCCATGACGCCTTTAGGCCCTAATTCTCAGTTGTTCCATTTCAGTCCCAAGTGCAAGACTGGAAGGAGACGAAGGTGGCTCTAAACCATTTTTATGCTCCCCAGACTCCTGGGACGGCATGGGCTGCCTGACTCTCCATTAGTGCACAGGGATGCTGTCACTTACACGGGCTACCCGGGGCTGTAAAGCAACAAATAATGGGGCACTGAGATCCAGGTTGGGATGAAATGCAATGTCCTGCTTTTTAGGCAGCTTTGCAGTGGGTTTGACTTGACAGAAAGCAAGACTTGGCCCCTCTTTGCACAGCTTGTGGCTCCTGGATTAAAATCTGTGACATGCCTGGCTCCTTTCAGTACTTGCCACCCATGCTCCTGTGCTGGTTATATCAGCTGTAAATCACCTGGACAGATATAAGGATTATTTCTCTAGGCTGCCCCTTATGTCCCACTGCACTTTAACAGGATGGATGTGTGATTGCAATGTTGTCTTGTCCCACCTGGTGTGCTCAAACCATCCTTCTGCTCTGTTTGAAACTCTGGGACTTTAAATTCAGAGAGATTATGGGGCTCCACCACAGTCTGTGTGTGTTGCCACTGGGGTCTGTAGTTGGGATCTTCCTTGGCTAGTGGGCACCTAATAGTTTTGGAGCTGGGAGAGGGGAAGCTCTCCTTATGTCCTCCCACAGAGGGGGAAAGCTGCAAACTCCCCTTTCCAGGGGGAAATGTTCCACTCCTTGCAGTATATGTACATCATGCAGAGCTGGGACCATGCAGGGCAGGGCTGACCCTGCCTGCTAATCAATTTTGGTTCTGAGTTAATGGACAACTGCACTTTGAAATGATGCAGTGGGATATCCACCCAGTAGGTTCTAACAAAGGTTAACGCCATGCTGCTGTATAGAATTGTGACATGTACTCCCCTCTGCCCCAACCTTCCTTCATGTGCCTATGTTTTTAAGTTTTATATGACCTTTGTATGCATACCACTGAGCTTTGAGCCTGCATCACTGCCTCTTCATGGGTTGAGTGAAAGGATCAAAGGAGTGGGAAATGCTTCAAATCTGATTTCTGTGATCGCAATCAGCTGTACGGTTTAAAAGGCTAAATGTTTCTCTGGCAGAACTAGTCTACCTGGTGGGGACTCTGAATTAACCACCAGGAAATCCCAGGCAGTGCATTTACCTCCATTCTAACCTGCCTCAGGTGGTTGTGTTATGCACAAGGCTGAGTAACTTTAACTATCTCCAAGTGCAATGATTGTGGAACTACTCTGCCTGGTGCCCTATCACTGTTACATATGAAACTCACGCATAGAAATAAGCCAGAGTTGTGTAGTTAACTGGCTTTTATTGAGCCATTGCCAGTCAGAAAGCTCTGTCTATATCAGGGGTCGGGATATATCAGGGAAGCCGCAGCCAGCACATCGCTCGCCCTCGCTGCTTCTCGCCGCCCCCATTGGCCCGGGACGGCAAACCGCGGCCAGTGGGGGCCGCGATCGGCCGAACCTGCCGCGTCAGCAGGTAGATAAAACTGGCCTGGCCCGCCAGGGTGCTTACCCTGGCGAGCTGCGTGCCGAACGTTGCCGACCCCTGGTCTATATGCAATATCCTAAGGCCAGTTCATACCATAACCTGTGGGGGCCACTGACAGCCATGGTGTTGAGACTGCGCTATGCTAAGAGAACTTGACTTTTGTTCTCCTCCCCCCCAAATATTTAATTGTTTTGGGGGAGATAGAATTTGTGGGAAGAGGAAGGGGTACCAGGATGACCATAGGTCTTATGTACTTTTAACCATTCAGCTGTGGTATATTGCTCTGTGGCTGATGGCTTCCTTTGTTCTTCTGTCAGTGGTTTTGTCTCCTTCTGGGGCAGTGTGAATATATAGGGTGGGAACCAGCCACCTTGCCTCGGCTCACACTCCTTTCTCCTCAGCGATGCTGTGTTTGAAGAGAAGCGTGCCTGTATATACTTTCTGTAGTAACAGGCCAAGGAGAAAGCAGATGGTCCAGCTGTGGGGTCTTCCTGCCAGTTTCATGCTTGTCCCCACAGTCTACGCTGACCAGTAGGAAAAAAGATTCTAGCCTTGGCTTTGAAGATGCTCCTAATGAAAGTAACAAGGAGTCTGGTGGCACCTTAAAGACTAACAGATTTATTTGGGCATAAGCTTTCGTGAGTAAAAGTGCTGCACTATGGTCTTCCTGATGTGCAGTCTCACAGGCTGAGAGACAGTGTGAGGTTTCCCTCATTCAGTTCACACCATGGTGGTTTAAAGTGGTCTCACTGAAACAATAAAACTGGGAGAAATTCAGAACCCAACTTCATAGCCTCCTGAGTGAGGAGCTCCCTGTCCCCGGCACCAGGGTTGTGGTGAACAAACAAAACCCAGAGTCTCAACTCTGTATCTGTCTCTAGAAAGAGCGTAAAGTGTGTAATTTGATGCTAGAGGTTTAAAATGAAATATTTATATAATATATTTGTCAAACTGAAACTTACTGGTGAAAACCTGTGTTTGTCTTGATTGGGCCAGGCTGGGGTAAGGAGTGAGATTTCAGAGCATTTGACAGTCACCAATCCGGGCACTGCCTGATGTGCATAGAATGTAAAAACTGACTGCAAACAGTTCTCTTAAAACACGTCACTTTCTATGTAGGGACCAAATCAATAGAAACCTTAATTTAAAATGCTATTCAAAGGGGGGCCTCTGGGGAGGGAATTCCCTACCTCTGAGCTCATCTGCTCTGAGTGCTGCTTGGTGTATGCCCCATCCCAAGCACCTAGGACCTGATTCTATCCTCAAGACAATTTTACAATGGATTTCCCCCCTTTAGAAGGTAAGAATACACCAAATAAATGTATTTTCTAAAGCTTTCTTGGGAGAGGATCCCATTGTTCACCAGTTTCTTGGCCACAGCCATAAAAGATGCAATACAATTAGTTCCTGGTATATTCCTCTGACTCAGACATTATAAGGGGGAGGGAGAGCGAGACCATGAGCAGTAGTATCAGCTGTTGAAGGATCTTCTGATTGGGCCACACTAGGGAAAGTTGCCCTATATCTGGTACTTCTCAATTACTGAGAAGCAGCAGTGGTGACTCCTGTCACCATCTTTAACATCTAAAGCTTGGTGCTTCCGATTGTAAAAGGAACACGAGCACCTTGAAATCGAGTCGGGTCAGAACAAATTAATCAATTTAGGTTCAGATCCTACACGTGCCAGTGCCTGGTTTTACAGTCGCACATTCCTGTGTTTACTATGGCTTTCCACTCCCTGGTGTGGTGTGACACCCTCACCCCCCAGCTACAGGAGTGTGAGTGTATACAGACGCTCCCTGACTTATGCAAGCGTTCCATTCCGGAACGCTTTGCGTAAGTTGAATTTTGCGTAAGTTGGGAATGTCAATTACGCAAAAAAAAACACCCCAAACCCTTTTTCTGTAAGTGCGGATTTCCATAAGTCCGGTTTGCGTAAGCCGGGGAGCATCTATAGTAGAAATATCCCAGCCTTTGCAATGTCTGGTGGCCTCCTGTTTCCGAGCTATTGCATGCTCTGAAGATGAGAGGGGCCCACGAAGTGCTAAGTATTTTCAGCTATTCTACCTCAAGGACAGGACAAACCAATAAAAGGTGTTTAAAGAGACTCCACACCTATTCTGGGAGGAAGTGCTTCCCACACCCTAGCCTGGCCTTCTTCACCTTGCAGACTGAAGCTGGCTTTCACAAATCACACTTGTGCTTTAAAGAGAAGGAGCATCTTGCCAGAATCACTGCCATTGTTGCTCATAAAACAAAACAAACTGCCTTGATCGCATGTCATAAGAATGAAGTGAGTTTTGCAAGGGGCAGGAGGCTTGCTCAGCCTTATTTCCCCGAAGCTAATCATTATGTGAGTCATACATATTTGGTAGGATAATTTTATTTAAAATACACTATGGTTAGTGTTCTGAATGAAGCTGCATCTTTGCCTGCCCTTCCCATCTACCAGAAAAATGCTTTGCTTAAAGGAAAACTGAAGTCATTTTGATGACAGCATTAGATTAGTGCAGAAAACTGAACTTAAATCAGAATATGGAAGGTGAACCAGGCAGGCTCAGTGCTTCAGCTATAAATACCTGCAAATATTTCAAGATCTCTATTTATATGAATTGGGAACCGTTATGAGTCCTGGAGGATGCTATCAAAATGATAATTCCACTATGAAAAACACAATAATGAGAAGTGGGGGGAGGTAATGTTGCAAAACAGGATTTGTGACTATCTGAACAGTGGTGTGGAGTGACAGGTTATGGGGGTTTTGTTCACTTTGCCACAAACACTTGTGCAAATAGATTTTTGTTCACAGAAACGGCAGGAAAAC